AGAGGGAAAACTCCATATCTGGGCAAACAAGGAGGCTTCTCCCCCGAACAGACTGGAAAGACCCTGCAGGCCCTGAAGGAGAGGCTGGAAAATCTTCAGGTGGGTGGATTGTATATATTGGGTGGATTGGTGGGTGGGTCTTATTAAACTGAAATGTAAAGCCTGTAATTTGATTTAAACACATTAGATTGGGTTAGTGAGTTTTTAAAAATGTTTTTGATCTTATTTGATCAAAAAAGACAGCAATTTTGAATAATATTATTACAATTTCAAATAACTGTTTTTTGTTTTAACCCTCTGGGGTCCTTCGGCCCAAATGGACCTGAAGCATTTAAAAAAAAATTTTTTTAAATCATAGCTTTATCGGAATGGTCCGAAATTTGGTGACTTTGTTGGTACTTGGTATATGAACACCCAAAAAAATTGGGGACAGGATTTGAATAGTCTAAGTGGTTGTAAAAAAAAATAGTCGAACTCAGGACCTTCGGGTCCAAATGGACCCGCATAGGAAATGAATGGGAAATTGGCAAAAATGTGAAAATGCTGAGTTTTTTTGTGCGTACAATCTACAAATCAGCCACGATCCAGAAAAAAAGCACACAACAGTGAAGGGGTGAATCTATAAAACATCAAGAGTGCAAAACAGACACATCCACACACACACACACACACACACACACACACACTTTTATACACATACAAACACATATAAATTCAGATTACATATGGGTTTTGAATTTTTAAAATGCTCAGTTTGTCCACCAGATGGCATCCATCTCATTTCAAAAATTGCTTTCATGAGGCCTAGGCTTGACTCTAAAATGAAATACAGCTTTAAAAAAAAAAAAAATCTATTATATTCAATGGGGAAAAAATGTGTCAAAATGATTGATAATGAATAATGAAGGATATCTCAAAACACCAAAAAAGAAAAAATATTATAAAAAACAAGTAAAAAAAAAAAAAGATGATTTTTTTTTTAATAAATATTAATCCCACCCTTCCGGCCCATTTGGACCCGAAGGTCCCGAGTGTGACTCTGAAATGAAGGACCCCTACATTTAAAAATGTAATTTATTCCTGTGATCAAAGCTGAATTTTCAGCATCATTACTCCAGTCTTCATTCTCACATTATCCTTCAGAAATCATTCCAATGTGCTGATTTGGTGCTCAACAAAAAAAAACCCATTTCTTATTATTATCATTGTTGGAAACAGTTGTGCTTCTTAATATTTTTGTGGAAACTGTGATTCTTTTTTTCCGGATTCTTTGATAAATAAGGTAATGTACATCCAGCCGGTTGTTATCGAAGAATAAGCCCCGACAGGGAGATCAGGACTTTTTTGTAATGTCTTGAAATCTTTATCATCTTATTATCCATTACAGTGTGCAAAACAATGAACACAGCAACAATATTATGGTACTTTTTTTATACTGAAGTCCTCCGATTTAATTTTCAATAGGCTACTATCACAAAATACAACAGAGACGGAAAATGGCAGCAGCTGCCTTTGGACTGAAACAGTCCGTGGCGTGAGAAGAGAGACACGAAAGACTCGCAGGCCTTAGATACGGATACCCGGATGAGCTCTGTTATTCCGTTTTGCTCTTGAAAACGGTTGTTATCGGGGATTAACACACCTCGGAATCAAGCAGTCCAGAGAGCCGTGTAATAAATAGATTTAGCATCACATCACAGCATTTACAATATTTGAAATCTTTTGTATGTCTTTACTGTCACGTTTGAGCAATTTAATGCATCATTTCCAAATAAAAGTTTTAATTTCCTAAAAAAACAAAAATAATAACTTCACTGACGGTTTTACACCCAAACTTTTTAACGGTAGTGTCAAATATGTATTTTTTTTTTCTTCTTGTGGGAAAGTCATGGAAATTATTACTTTCTAAAATGTCTTGATATTTTTCAACTGCTTGGATTTTTGTTTGCTGGGGTTATATGTCAAAACTTCTCAGGATGACATAAGCTCATTTATAGTTCTGTAAAGTACACTTTGGTGGCTTCCTGTGCCAAAAACAGATCATTGAAAACAGTCTTCCGTTTAGGCAGCCCAGCCAGGATTTACTTATTAAATTAGCCAGATCCCTACCCTTGAGAGAACACACAAGACGAAAAACAAACTAGCTACAGTACAGTAACGCATCACAATGGTTGCAATGCACTTAGAACTGTAAACAAGCCACCATGTGACACTTTTATTGAGTATAGTATTCAGTTAAACTAATTAAATGCAATTAAACTCTCCCTTTTTAATTGTTCTGTATAATCATTGCTGACATAGGGTTTGAAGTTGTAGACATTTCATCCAAGTTTTAACTTGACTCTGTTCTTTAGAACTCAGACACGTTCTTTCTATTTCCCAAAGTGACTTAGATATCACTCCAAGCTTTATTGGAGAGGAAGTGCACACACAGCACGCTGGTGATGGCACTCTACAATGTGCTAGTTACTGCCATCAGCAATTAGCCCCATCTGCTTTGATGAGCCATTAAGCGCAGAATGCTGTGGCGCTAAGTAAAGCTGGATTTGCTACGACTTATCAAAGGAAAGAAGCTGACAGTGAAGGAAGGGCTGGCTTGTGATGTCATAACACTCATCTATATTAATACACTACCGGTCAAAAGTTTGGGGTCGGTAAGATGTTTTAAAGTTTTTAAAAAGAAGTTGCTTGTGTCACTAAGGCTGCATTTATTTGATGTAAAAAAGAGTCATATTGTGAAGTATTATTAAAATTTAAAACAACTGTTTTCCATTTTAATGCATTTCCAAATGTAATTTATTTCTGTAATGGCAAAGCTGAATGTTTGAATTATTCCAGTCTTCAGTGTCACACGATCCTTCAGAAATTATTCTAAAATGCTAATTTGGTGCTAGTGAAACATTTCTGGTGCTGCTTAATACTTTTTTAGAAACCGTTATATGATTCATTGATGAATTGAGTTCAGAAGAACAGCATTTAATTGAAATATATATTTTTTCTAACATTGTAAATGTCTTTAGTGTCCCTTTTTTAATCAATTTAATGCGTCATTACTAAATAAAAGAATTAATGTATTTAAAAAAAATCTAACTGACCTCAAATCTGTCAATGGTTGTGTGTATATTGATTGTTAATGATATATATATGTTTGTATATTGAATGTTTGTTGAAAACATGGTGTGCTATGTATTTGGTTGAATTGTCATCTATAATTTTAGCCTTTGATTTATAAAATGAAACATTTTAAAATATTTGTAGATTTATGTGAAACAATTATTATATTATATTATATTATATTATATTATATTATATTATATTATATTATATTATATTATATTATATTATATTGTATTAAGCATATATTTGCATGAGATTGTGAGTCAGTGTTGTGCGGTTACCCTATTTTCAAGAAACTGTACATAACCGCATTATATATTATTATCATTGAATTGTAAACATTGTATTTACAATCTTGCCAAAACTGTGTACTGTTGTTTATTGCCTTCATTTTTGTTCTTATAGGCAAGAAATTCTTCCAGTTCCTATTCAAGTTCATTGAGAGACCTCCTACAGCGCAAAATCAACGCACTGGAAGAACAGCTCCATCATCACTATGACCACCATCATGGATATGGTCATCATGAGGATCATCATGACCATGATGACCACCATAATACCCACAACAATAACCACCATGATGACCATCACGATGACCATCACGATAACCACGATGACCATCACGATAACCACGACAACCACCAGGCAAACAATCACGATGACCATCACTCCAGCAACCATCGTAACAACCATTATAATTATCACTATGAACGTCATAGCGACCACCATGATGATCACCAAGACAATCATCAAAACGGCCATGATGATCATCATGACAACCACCACAACAACAACAACCACCATGATGATCGTCATGATGATGGCCATCATGGCAATGGTCACCATGATGATGGACGCCATGGAAATGATGATCATGTCCAGCATCCACAAACCTCTTTCAAGCCAACTGGGCCAAGAGCGCCTGTCCGTGGAGCCCTCAGTAAGCTAGATGCAGTGCTGAGTAACCTTCACCACAAGACTCCAGAACCAGGTGATATGTCCTAAAAAGTAGAGTATAGGACAACTCTAGAGAAGTGTTCGTGCAGAATCTTAGATTTTTATTTAATCATTCAAACTTAATGTCCATTCTTTGATGTTTTATAATGGTTTTTGTAATTTTGTCCTAACCAAATATATATTGAAAATTTTTTGAGGGAATATGCATATGTACCACCGGTCAAAAGTTTGGAATAATTAATATTTTTTAAATATTTTTTAAAGAAGAATCTTATGCTCACAAAGGCTGCGTTTATGTGATCAAACATAGTCACAGATCAAACAAAGAAACACAGTTAAAACAGTAATATTGTGAAATATTATTACAATTTAAAAGAACTGTATAAGAGAACTGTACTTACGATATTCGAAATTTAATTTATTCCTTTGATGGCAAAGCAGAACTTTCAGCATCATTACTGGCTTCAGCGTCACATGATCCTTCAGAAATTATTCTCATATTTTGATTTGGTGCTCAATTATTAATAATGATTCTTTATATTATAATTTTTGTGGAAACTGGTTTGCTCATGACGTCATGAAAGTGAAGCCACCGTGCCTTTGTTTAAAGTTGGGAATTTACCCTGCTTATTAAAAGTTATGTTCATCTTTATTATAGTAGTGAATTTTAGATCAGCTGATGGACGAAACACCTCAAAATTTGTATTAGAAATGTCAAAATAATTCTTCTGAAATCTGGATTCAGATTTATGCTTTGTAAGGCATGCACATACAACTTAATTTGTCATGTAGGCTACAGTTATTCACTGTGGTTATTACATTATTTTGTTATAGCTATAATATTGTTTTTTTTCTTACAGTAACTGTAAATGATTCAGCAGTCTTTTCATTAAGAGCATGTATTTAAAAGCAGTGAAGATAATGACTTAAACGTTGGTTAAATTAATAATTACTGTAGCTCAACAATATATAGGCCTACAAATAACACTCAATATATACATTGTCATGCTAGTAAAAAGTAATAGAATTTGAGCTGACCTGTGGCTTTTTAACGGTTTCCAAGATCTCCAAGAGTCTGGATGTTGGTCAACAAAAAGACATCAGGAAATAATACACAAGCTTCACAACTTCTTCAGAGAAATAATGCAGACTGCATATGGTTTTAAAGACATTAAGCTTTATTTCCAAGCATTTATACTGTTGCTCCGAGATGATGCATGGTAAACCTTGGATTTTAATAAAATACATTGCAATATAGTAATAGGGTCTTGAATGTCTTGTAATATTTATTGTATATTCAAATCCATTTCTGCAAATAATCCCAGATATATGTTCATTCTTAATATTTCCTGCATAATTACGTACATAAAGAAATCTATTTTGTGTTAGTTCAGTCACCTGTGTCGGCAGTGGGCCGTAGACACCCATTATAACGATTTCTATATATCGCTTATCCTGCTTGAAAAGAACATAAACATTAAAGAAAATGTTCAAAGTATCAATTAATGAACATACATACATCTTAAAAAACTATTCATGTTCCACTGATATGCTGCAAATCAGGTGATTTTAGCTCAATGTTTTGGCTGATCAATGATGCCCTCTGTCGGTAGAGAATAGCAAGATGGCCGCTCGAACACTTCCGGTGGCTTAAAGGGATACTTCAGGATTTAGCATTAAGCTTTGTATTAGTAGAAAACCTGTAGTATTTTCGAATTACCATGCTTTCCACCCTCATATCCCCCTGAGATGAGAGATTTATGTATTTTTGGTCTGGAAAAAATCCTCCAATGACGCAAAAATCGTCATTTTGCGTCATCAGAGGATTTTTTGGCCAGAGGCTAAAGACTACAGCCAGTAGTAGGGGCTGTTCCGCATGTTTTCAACCCGCCCATAGAGGGTGGGATCTCACTCACAGAATGTACACATAGTGTCAGCCATCTTTTTTTGGAAGCTAAGCTAGCAGGCTCTTGTTCTGTGGAGAAAGCTGAGTAGTAGGGGTTACCATCCTCATTTTCCCGGACATGTCCGGCCGTCGATGTCCGGGATTCAGCTTTTGCTTTCTGCAGTCGCCATTCATTGTTTACATGCACACCTTTTGTTTCAATCTAACTGAATTCATTCCGATTGGTGAATCTGAATGTAGTGTTTACATGAACGCTAAACAAGTGATCGGTTGATGTGCGTTTTAACATCGCTAAGAAAATCCCCGCTCCTCCGTGAGAGATACGAGACCGATGCGTCTCACAGGTGTCGCTCATCGGTAATCACGCCACCGGCCTCGCGCAGTTCTCCCGCGGCCCTAGCCTCGTCCTGCTCGCCACAGTAAACATAATGAATGAAGATTGTTGCGTCTTTTGTTGACGCAATATAAAAGTGACCGTTTACAAGAGCTTCAGTGTCTAGAGATGAACACTCAGCTCAGCTCAATGTCCCTGACCATGATAGGGCCCCTTTTTTCAGAGCTCTTGGGAGCAGAACTAGAAAGGGAAACTGCCTCCGCCATGTCCAGCTTACATCTTTCACTGAAAGAGAGTAAAGAGACCAAAGAGTGGGTCACCAGTGCGCTCAGACTACCAGGATCCGAGGGAACACTCTTACTCCCAAACTGGAGGAGTTGACCTTCCCTGATACACTTTTACCACTGATTCACAAGGGAAGCTTGTTGTCTCACTTCTTGCTCCAATTACATAAACCGGAGGGAGCCACACAGATAGTGGGTCACATATGATGACCTAGTCCACCTTCAACACCTTAAAGCACTTAACCCTAGGCTGATAGTTGTTCCTTGCCTCTTGTCTGTGAAAGCTCCCAGAGCTCTTTTATTTCTCAGGAGAGCTTGCTCGAGGTTTGCATAGGCTTGAGATGATGGCTTTTTGGCTTGGTTAGTTGGGGACACTTAATATTTTGCAATATTATTGACTTAAATACACTGACACAGTTGGATGAGAACTGAACTGCATTTCAACTGAATAAAGACTGTTTACTGTTGTCATTTTAGAGCTGCTTTACAGCATAATTGCATTCTGTTTCTCGTCATTAAAACATTATTTTCCTGTTTATCACTGTAAGGCTGCATTAAAACAATCTTAATTGTATATGTAAAGCACTATATAAATAAAGTTGACACAGTACGGTGTGTCACCACCAGCAGCATCCTGTGACGTAACAATTGAGTCTTACCAGCAGAACTTACGCTAAAGCTTTCATTTCAAACACAGATGCTGCTCTGTGGCAACATTAGCAGTCATAGATTGGCCAATGACATGTGCCGTCTGCTTCGTGGCACGGAGGGCAAGATTTGTGGCCCTGTGGAGTTCCAGGACTGCCTCAGGTGCCAATCCCTCAACATGACCCAGGTCCTTGAGAAGGTCAGCCTGGTACGCCTGCAACACTGCCATTGTGTGCAGGGATGCACTGGCCTGACCCGCCGCCGCATAGGCCTTGCCCACCAGCCGCAAGGTGGTCTGACACGGCTTGGATGACAAGACCGAAGCCTTCAGTGAAGATGCCGCACCAGAAGAGAGAGAGGTAGCTAGCAAGTACCTCTTCTACCTGGGGCATCTTCACAAATCCTTGGTCACGTAGCCCCTGCACATTCAAATAATTGGATGGTTTCTCCCACGATCTCGACAACTCTTCGTGGAGATCGGAAAAGAAATGGAAGTGCTTATGAGAGCATCGATGGCCCATGAGGAATAGCTAGTCTGCACTGAACAACCTCCTGCTTTCCCAACATCCAGTCTAGACTGAGTCTAGCCGTGGTACAGGATATCACTTACAGCTACTCCTCATACGAGGGGCCACGAGAGGAGGCGGTAGATATAATGTCCACCTTTAACTCCCTCCACATCTAACTCCTCAGATCTAGTCAATAACATGCTTTCAAATTAATCAGAAGAGGCCACAGAGAGGGCTTCCTGATCCAAACTGAGAGTCTTGGAGCTAGCAGTTGAAATCCAAGAAAGGGATGCACACATCTCAGATGCCTACGATAGCTCCACCTGTGACCTCCACGATCTGAGTCACCAAACCGTGAGGCACAGTTGCCTGGCTCCCTTCCCTCGTAAAGAGAGCCAGGCGGGAGTGGAGCTTCTTCACTGTGAAGCAATCACAGTGAACACAGCCAGCTCCTTCAAGAGAAGACAGTGTGTGCTCCACTCCTAAACAAATTAAACACATATTGTGTGATCATCACCCATAATGAAGTGGGGACACAGCGATGCACACTTTCTAAATGCATGTTTGCTTGTCATCCTAATAATCGTTGAGACAGACAATAAATAAGACTTACTACACACAGAGATTTTCTTGAAGACAAAGAAGCTGATGAAGTCTAACGCAGTCACACTTTTATAGTCATTCCGGCACGCTGAGTGATGTCACACAACTTCCTTGGCCAATAGAATTGTCATATTACACGTGCTTTAGACACCGGCACACACTGAAGGCGTTCTCATAGTCTCAGCAACTGATGCAGCACTGAGTACCCTCAATAGGGAACTTAAGTATGTCTTATTTTGTATATGGTCTTATTTTTCATGTTCTAGTTCTGAAAGGTTAAAGCTCCAGTCGGCAAGTCTGGCAGATTGAGTGGATTTAGGAACATTTTGAATGTTTACAACTCTCATGCCCCTCCCCCACTATCAACGGAGACCCTCCCACCCAGTTCATGCTCGTCAGTGCGTGTGCACCAGATTTTCAGTGAACGCCAGGACTCTCAAGTGTCACGCATTGAGCGTGACAGTCACTCATTTCGGTCTTTTGTCACGCTCTCCCGCCACACATTGTATTTCTCACGCTGAAAAACTATTTGAAATATATTTAATATACCGCAGCGCCCAAAACTCTGGCCGCGCCGCTCTCACTGTGGAACCGGCATGAATCAAGCGTGTTTCCTCTGGTGTTGTTCGTCGAGCTACACAATAGCCAATCAGAAAATAGCACTATTGTATCTGGGTAAGATTTAACGCAACAACCAATGACAAAAATGTATCCAACCCCCCGTCGGCTGGGTGTCACTCTTACCTGTCTTCAAAACTTGAGAGCCCTGGAACGCGCCCGTCTCATCAGCATCCATCAACACCATGGAGTATTTGGAGGTATGCTGTCCTGGCTAATCTACCGATAGATTGCAATTGCTAACGTCATTTATACTCTAAATGAGCGTACTTGATTTTCCGCCATCACTCTTCGTTACTGCGCGAACTTCCGCAAACTTCAGGCGTGTGCATGTGATTGTAACGTGCGTGAGGAGTGGCGTGTGCCCGATCTGTGATTGACAGTCAGATCTCACACCCCCCTGCGCTGATTGGACATGATGAACCGGGAGCTGTGGATTTTTGCAAAACAAATAACACGCTCCAGGTGGAGTTAGAAGCTCGGGTTTTTTTCTAAAACCACTTTATTTATGTTGTTCTGTCAGATTATAGTGTCGATTTCACTGAATATGATCAAAAAAATGTTGCCGACGGCAGCTTTAAATAGTCTTCTTCTAGGAGATCTGTCTTCAACTCAGTGGCGGTTCTAGCCCATTTCAACTGGGGGGGCCAAGCTGGGGCCAGTTGTACTGTTAGAGGGGCCAGTTACATTTAGACCTTATTGTTGTCATATCATTTTCTGCACTGCTGCAGGCATTAACAGGGAAAATACCGTGTTTATAATCATTCAACAATGTATTTGCATATCCATTATATTTTTACATTTGCATTACATATTCAGTATTAGTCACAGTAACTGTAATAGACATGATGTCCTTCTTTCTCTTCATTTTGAGAACTATAGAGCAAAAGCAATGGGGACCAAGAAGCTTATTAATTCATTTACTGAAAATAACTGACTTGATATGTCTAACCGTTTACAGGGTTCCTGCACACTTTTTAGAGTCCAATTTAAGGCTTTTTAAGACCTAAAGAAATCAAAATTAATACCGTACATTAGAGGTGTGCAATATTGACAAAAATATATTTCAACATTTTCAACATTTTGTTAATAATTAGATAATATTTTACTGATTGTGTTTTTGTGCTGGTGCCATGGCTGGTTTAGGCCTGTTGTTGACAGCTGACTCACGAAGATATTCCTATTTTTCATATTCTATGCAGTGGTCGATTCACAGCAGTGACAGAAATACATTTTTTAATTAAGGGGCAATATTTGCCACCTTAAATTGATTTCCAGGGGCATTTTCACCTATATATGGACATTTTTTCTAAACTTATTTAGAGTTATGCATCACCTTTTATGTCAAATACTAACATTCAAATTATACAGTAATTATACTTATTTATACAATAATACTTAATTATACAATAATTATACAGTACCACTGTTACCAGTCAAATTAATTAATTCAATCAAAATCCATCTTTGCAGTGCAGAGGTGACACAGAAGTGGCATTAATATATTTACACTCCATTTACAATTGCATAAATAAAGCTATGAGATTTTTTTCAAGTCAATATTTAAATATGAAATTATTTCTAAGTTTAACGTTTTAATTAAAGGATACTTTAAATATGAAACTAAAACCGCCAGTAGGCGGCGGCAAGTCCCTGTAAGAGGGATTCATTCATTCAAACGATTTGTTCAAACGGCCGATTTATTCGGGAAAGAAGCAAGTGATTCGTTCAAAACGCGGATTTCAGTCAAGAAATCATCGCTGTGTTGCATTGAGACTCACTACGGTTTCATTATGAAATTCTAGTCGGCGAAATAAAGGGAAAACAAACAATATTGACAATATTGTGTCTAAAAAGTAACTCCCAATGTTAACTTATTGTTAATTTAACTGTTGTATAACATAAATATCACAGTTGCAATTGTGCACGGGAAAACGGCACTCTTGCTGATGTGATATTCTAATATAAGAACATAATATGATATAAATATAAGACAAAAACTAATTTGGGGACATAGCCTACCTATGAACTGCACACAGCAGTGAAAGGACGATAGACAAATGCTATGTCAGCTCACAGTGCCTCGTACATACCGTGAAACTTCAAATAATAGCCGAGTCCCGAATAGACGCCTGTCTCTTTTACACGCCTGGTGTGGCGACAGGTTTGGGTACATAAAGGCCGGTCTCAAATAGAAGCCGGGTCTGTTTTTAGTTTCGGGTTGTATTTTATCTTCTAAAACCCGTCAGAGCGTCCGCTTGCTGCGCTTGACAGTGCATAACGAGCAGAGAGAGAGAGAGAGCGCCCCGGCCGCGCGCGCGCACTCACCTCTTCAAACATTCTGCCGCGATTCCCGCGAATGTGATGCGAATTGTCACGTGAAAATGCAAATCCACAAAGATAGAAAAATAAAAAAAATAATACACATACAACGATAGCAAAAAACAGTTTTGTAAAAATTATTTCAAACTCCACATTTAGGGGGGCCACAAGGGGGGCCAAGCTTTTTGTCACAGGGGCACTGGCCCCCCTGGCCCCCCCTCTAGAACCGCCACTGCTTCAACTGTCTTTTGAAGATTTCAGTCGAGCTTTTATATGTTATGCTGCAGAGAAATGAGATCCTGTTTTATAATTTCTTTATTTTCACCAACAGGTCCAAATAAGAAACTCAAAAATCCTGACGCTTTTCAGATTGGCTTCCCGATGCGCACCAACTACATGTATGGGCGAATCAAGCGCACCCTTCTGAGCGAGATCTTCGCCCTCACAGTCTGCCTTTGGTTGAAAGGGGGCTCAGGTCCTGGGATCGGAACCCCGTTCTCCTACTCTGTCCCTGGCCAGGCCAATGAGCTTGTCCTGATTGAGTGGGGCAACAATCCCATGGAGCTGCTGGTGAATGACAAGGTAAAGAAATTACCTAATTATAAAACAGGGATTGTGTAACGAAAGATTAATGTCCTGGTTTTGCAAAACAAATGCAATCCTAAAAAAAACACCAAACCCAAACAAACAAAAACCATTATAATTTAGGAGTGTATTTAAATAGATACAGTAAAATCAAATATGTCATAACATTGGACAAAATAGCTAATACAATGCATTGTATTAAAATGCTAGACAACACAGTTTGGAAAAGGGATCACCAGACTTACCCTGCTGATGACCTTGTCCTGCCATTGCAACAGTCTGCAAAGCTCTCTCTTCCTCTTGGCTGCCCAGCCATTGCATCATCCTGCCTAATTAGTTAATGGCTTATCCTTGGTTGACGTGTGAATACATTCTACTGTTTTTTTTAAAACCGAAACAAGACAGGCCTCTTCTGTCAATGACTGTTTACATGCTGTCAACTAAACAACTAATGCTAGCAGCTAATAAGCGTGATGAGGTTTGTCAGAGTGCAGACTATTTCACAAGGGAACTTTGTTGAGGTATACAAGCAAACTATAAACATTTAATGAGAAGTTAAAGATTGCGACTTAATGTTCTTTTGTGATGATTTGTACGCAAATATCCAATTGGGTCTATTTCTCTCTTTCTTTCTTTTTTGTTCTAAAATATCCTGTTACTGTTTTATGGAGAAACTTTTTAAATAAATCACAGTCAGTGAGTGAGCTGTCTGGATGATCCAGATTAGATCACAAACTAATTCCGACCATTATGCTTGTTATTTATATGTGAATTGTCCATATATATATATATATATATATATATATATATATATTTTTTTTTTTTTTAATCAACATTTTTTTTATTCATTTATAAAAACCTCTTTTAAAAACATCTTCCGACCCCAAACTTTTAACCGGTAATAATGAGTATGCTGAAATATTGCAAGAGAAAATATTTATCAGGTCAGTATTTGTTAATCTCCATCATCAGACAAGGATACATCATTAAAACTGAACTAGGGCACAACAGTAGTTAATAAAAAATAACTGAATATGCGAGAGTGTGTAAGACAGAATTTCATCTACTATACTAACAAAACAATCACTGTATTGTTTAAAAATGTACTCTGTTTTTGCCCTCTTTCAGGCAGTCACTCTTCCTATTTCTCTGACGGACAGTAAGTGGCACCACCTCTGTGTAACATGGTCCACACGGGATGGCATGTGGGAGGCTTATCAAGACGGTGTGAAAAGGGGCTCTGGAGAGAATCTCTCCCCCTGGCATCCGATTAAACCAGGAGGAGTCTTTATCCTGGGACAGGAACAGGTACATCTCACAGAATCAAACATAAGTGAATCAAAACACACTCGCACTAACTAACACCCGACTCTTTTGTACCCAGGACACTCTGGGCGGCCGTTTCGACGCCACACAGTCTTTTGTGGGCGAGATGTCGGATATGCAGCTGTGGTCGCGTATGCTCACGTCTACCGAGATCTACGACCAAGCATCCTGCTCCAGCCACCTCACCGGCGACATCATCACCTGGAGCGAGTCCATGGTGGAACTCCACGGAGGTGTCACAAAGTATCCGTTCGACCCTTGTCATTAAGGATCTAACCAGAGAGAATAAATAAATCTGCTTAACTTGCAGCTGGAAAGGTGGACAGTTGTGAATCTGGACTCGTACTGCAGCTGCTCAATTAACTAAGCACTTTATTAGTTTAAGTGTCTAAAAATTACATACTGCAAATCGATAAGCACTCAGGATGTCAACAGACTGGTTGAACTCCATTCTGTGTTTTTGGTTCACTTCCAGACACTACTGAAAGCACTTCAGTATCACTACTTTAGTATACACGTGCAAAAACACTTCACAACAGCAATCAATTACTGTCGACATGTACTATTAAAATAAGGCGAGACAATGTGGACTATTTTTATATCTGTACAATGTCAAGTGAATTACACATTTGTAAACTTTTTTCCTTTTCTTTGGTTGGTTAGACCCATTTGTATTCGCTCTAGCAGCATGGGGGGCACCAGTGAGTTTTAAAGGCCTACATTTCATTTATGCTACATTTTTATAAGCCAGGACTTCAGTATAGCTAATAACCTGAGGTGCTCTTTTAGTCTTGAAAATCAAGAATAAATTCTGCTAAAAATAAGCAAATCGTGTAATAATTTTTTAATGCATGTAAATTTGTATTATTGAAAGATTAGATGTCTCGAAGAGTTGGAAAAGATGGTATTTTTTCATATGTATAATGACAAGTGATGTCTGTGGGCAGGTGGGCTGCTGGTATGGGTTTATATACAGTACGCACATGCCAGATATAGGAGCTGAAAGAAAACAGTGAGGTGTCCATGGCAACATAGCTTAAAGGGGATTAAAGAGCTGAAGAGCACTCTCATTTAGACTCTATCTCTCTTTTCTCTCTATCTCTCTCTTGCTATTCGATTTCATAATATTTAATGCACTTTTTGTGTTTAAACACATGCACGTCTGTATCTGAAGAAATCTACATAAAGAGTACATCACAGTGAATGTAAAGTTGGTTGCACGTTGCATTTGTTATTCTGTGAATTGTTTTTTTATTGGATAAAGGCGTGTGCTGTAGTCATTTGTGAAAAGTGACATTGAACAGATCTGCGTTTCATTATTGATTAATGAACTTAAGTACAATATGGTTTTAAGCATTAGGTTACAGCAACACTTATATATGTATTAATTGTTTTGTGTCATATGAAGAAAATAATTTTAATATGCAGTGTTTCCTGCTTACTGTGAAATTGCATTGGTCCAAAAACCGAATGGTGTCTCATTAGGAAATGTGTTAGTCTGGATGTATGAACCCTTCTCAGAATTCATACCTCCAGCTGTTTATTAAAATGCTTCTTCTTATTGTGAATTTAACCTAAAATCTGGAGGCATTTAGATTATGCATTTTCACTGTTTAAAAACCCATTTATTGTTTCGAACTTTTTTAACTAGATGGCCAAATGTACTTCCTAGAGGTAGCCTGAATTTTTAAGTTCCCCCTTCCCCTCTTCCTACCAAAGGAGACTTTACAGATTTATCAGTTAGATAATCGTCCAACCTGACTGGTCAGATTTATGTATGCATTTGCTTAACTTCGCCTTTGGTGTATATCTGTATCCAAATGCACTAATTAGTTTTTTTTTTTTTTTTCATCTTTCTTATATAATTGTATATAGCAGTTATATGTATATATTATATTTTTACTCATTATTAACAATATGTTTGGGCATGTCCTTAATGCCTGTAAGCCAAAATTTACAAGCTTAACTTGAGACAAGCATGTATTCAATTATTTGTAAATAAAGTAATGGTTTTGAACTAATCAAAGTGTTTATTATTATTTTTAAAAGATGTCTTTGACATGGAATTTCAAATACGTACATGATTCCACTGATTGTATTTCAACATATAGGGAGATTCCATCTGTTTACGCAAGTATGAGAAATATAAAACAATCTAACATTATTTCTTTTAAAGGTATGATTATTTTAAATAATTAATAAATAAATATATTAATAATAGTTAATAATTAATAGTTGATATAATAATAAAAAAAAATTGTTATCTTAAATGGCAATTGGTTTTAAATCATATTTTTTTCATCAGCAATTAAAGAAATAAATCAATTCCTCTTGTCTTACCCTTATTCACTAAGCCTATTAATGTTTCTATTTTAGACCGGTCAGGATGGTTTTCGCGGGTAACTTGCATGCATCACTCGCCAGTGCTGGTCTCATCATATCCGTAAATAGACTATAACTCTGTGAAGAAATATCTTCATGATTTGTTATCAAAAATTTTTATCTTTTGTCAAATCAACTTAGATAATTTATGTGGTTCAGATAACATAATATTTTGAGTTGCTATTTATTAAACCAATCTCCTTCATTGAATTAACTCAAATTTTTTTATTTTAATGAACTTTAAAATTTTAAGGCAACCAGGTAATTTACTTTTTTAAGTTAAACTGACAATGTTTTTTTACAGTGCTGTGTGTATGGTGTGGGAGTGGCACAGGTTAGTTGTCACAACTTGTGAGAAAGGTTGACATGACGTTAAATTTCGAACTTCCGGGGAATCACGCGTTTTTAAAAACGCTGAACAGAGGAGAGTCTGCTTGCAAAAGGGGAATGCACAGACAAACGAGAATCAAAAGTGGCTTGGCTTTTTTTTTTTTTTTTTGGCAGGGATGGCACGAACAGAGGGATTTGAAATGTTGTATAAAAAGCGATGCAGAGATGGCGTTTTTATTACTCAACGGGTATTTTATTGAGTGCCATATGTAGCTCTCAGAATTAATTGTAAATATATATTGTGAAGGCGGGTCATATTAATCTGCAGTCATGCAGAGTCGAAGCACACCACTAAAACAATGTTCTTCCGCAAACAGCATACAGTTTTGTTTTCTAACCGCTAGAGGGCCAAAAGTTGCAAAAAACAGCCACTCATCAAAATGTTCAGTTTCATCAAAATCTTTCAATAAATGTATGGTATAGTGTTAACATTTTTGTTAAAAATTATTTATTAAAGGCAAACCTTGCTGAGTATACAATTATTTATTATTATTATTACTATATAAATACATTTTTTATCAGAATTTACTACTTTATTACATCACAAATCTCCTCACATCTTGTGCTTTTATGATTCATCCATGAGAAATTCGTTTGGTCTTTATCATGACAACGAATGTTCTTTACAGCCAAAAATTGAAGCTATAATCCATAGCGTCTGCAAATTTTGGGACCAGACACCCAAGATTGCAGATAACCAGTTGCATTGTGTCTGGTCTGGCCCCCAGGGGACATCACCTCACCAGCAGCTGGTGCCAGAAAAAAAACGGCCCAAAGAGGGTCTATGTGTTATAGAGAATGAAATACAACAATCCTGTCTGTATAAGGATTAAGTAAAATAATCTACTATATATTATGATATTTTATCATATTCTTTGACATCACTCTTGTGACAGTATACACAACCTCAACAACAAACAACAGCAAAGCATGCGTTTATCACAGCATTCATCACTTTTAGGGAATGGATATCAAGATTTCTCCACAGAATCAATAAATTCATAAAGGGAAAAAAAGCAATTACTCTACTGCAGTACGTGGAACCACAGCAGAGGGTTCCTCGTGTTTAAAAGTAATGGGCAGAAGATGGCAAATGAAAGAAAAAAAGGGCTTTGCATAAGAAAGGGCCTTTTTGTTTGCCTGACCTTTCCTTTTCTACTTTGCATTTTGGTTTAAAGGTCTCAGTCTCAGGGTTCAGAAAAAGCATGAATGACAAACGAACTGGACACAGGAAAGCCTTTGACCTTTTAAGTCAAAATGATTGCAAATATATTGATGATTGTGAATATATATCGATTTGGCTTCCACATTCTAATGTGTGTTGTGCTGTGTATAATATATAAAATCACTTTTTTTTATCAAATTAGTCAAATATGTTTTGGGATATATATAGATAATGCATAGCTAAAGTGTAATTTGATGACTTCTATCAAAAGGAAAACACATTTAATAAAGGTAGAATGATAGTTTGGTAGAAAAATCTCAGATGTCCGTATAATTTTTGACTAACCGCGTTATTCCCAGAGGCACGCACATAAGTGGTTAGTGCATGGCATTAGACCGCAGAGGCCGCAAAGACCCTAATGTTTGCATTATGCATTATTAATGCTCATAGTTATTGCCAGTAAATATGCCAATGGAAATTACTCCACAAATGCACACATGTAAGAATTATATATTATGATAGTGTTATTGAATTACAAGTCAAATCACCTTTATACAAGCTCTAATGCTGCAGTTCCACATTTTGTACTGTAGATGGCAGAAAAGTATCTTTATTGAAATCCCATCCTATGATGTGGCTGAACACTTGTAACATAAAACATAAGATTTTTTCTTTTTTTCTTTTCCCATTTTGCTTATATATGAAAATTTAAGTAATCAATATAATTATGCATTTAAAAAAAATCGGGTTTCATTAAATGTAAATCTAAAAATATGGGGCAATATTCCTTACCCCAACACTTAATAGCAACAAACTTAATGAACATAAAATATCTATACATGACTGTCTAAAAAACAATTATTAAAGTTGAATTATGTTTGTAGGACAAGGATATATTTTATAATTGTTAGGTCGGGGTAGGTTGTCACACGTGTTGTAGCCCAATTATGTTGATTTTTTCCCCCTTTTTGTTCCCTTTTACAACACAGGCTTAGCAATTAAAAGCTTATATAACAGAAGTTTACTTTGAATAGTTAGCTGTTTTTTTCTCCTGGGTAAACAGTGGAAATGTTCAAAAACGAACCGATACTTAAACATACAGTATGTGTATGTGCCTACACATTAATTAACTTAAAAAAGAAAATGTATCCTCCCTTAAAAAAAAAGTATTACAACAAGCCCTGTCTCTCCTTATATATCGCTTTTTTTAATTATGTCAAGTGTTTTTAAGTCAGTAAATAGTTTGGACAGTGCACATAAAACACATTTATAAAGTGATGCAATCTTGCCGTTTTAAAAATCATCCAGAGAAGCCTTGTGACTCCTGCAGTAAAATTTGGGCTGTTGTACTGCAGAATTTGATACCGCTATGACTCACGTGCCTTTTGAGGCCTGAATAAACAGTGGGATGTGCCCACTGCTGTTTTCTACGGATATTCATAGATTAATAAAGAAGAACGTTGAAGAAAAGGTATGCCTAATTATTATATCCTTTTTTTACTTTACAAATGAATGTCAGTCAGTCGAAGCCTCGTCCCTGCATCCTTTGGAGTTTGTGGTACCCGGCGCTGCATCCATTTGGTAGCACCCATCAGCTGATGCTCTATCAAGGTCACCCGCGCAGAGCATCATGGGCGGTGGGTATCGGATGCGCTTAGTCCCACCCCACGAGCACAATTCGCATCCTAGCCAACCTTGCCGAATAAGGTATTCCCGCATCACGAGGCGCTATGACGGAACAGCTGTCACAAGCATAGTCACAAGGCGTGATGCGGAATACGCGTCGTGGATAAATAAGGGGCGTGGACGTGGGTTTACGTGCTCAACCGCCGGTATTTCGTCAAAGAAGAAACGTGCGGTTGGTCGTGTAGCCTACTTGCTACGTGTGACGAATTAAAGAATACATCCTTGACAGTGCGGTATTTCACTAGACTTCAGTCAGTGCCAGTGGGTCACCGGGATACGTGCACGCAAACGGGTGGTCACGACGCACGAGAAACACGGTAAGGCATCCTCAATTGATGATATACATTTAAATAGTATATTTAAATAGCATGTGAATTACCATAGTAGCACAACATGTAGTGAATTGTAAAATATTACAATGCAGCGGGATCATGTATGAGACCTGTACGTGGGGCTGAAATTATTGATAAAATTGGTCGTTTTAAAATATATATATATATATAAAATATTATGTCAAACAAAACAGATTTACTGTGAATATTACGAAAATAATTATGTTACACTTGTAAAATGTTTAATGTTAAAAAAAAAACAGGGCTGAGGTTAAGAACATGACCAAACCCACTTATCCAAAAGTGGCGTCAGCAATGTGCAGGAGCACCTGTTGAACAACAGTGTAACCAGATAGGATTTTTTGTTACCTTTTTATTTATTTATTTATTTTGCGTTTTTGCAAGGATAAAGGGGCTTGCGGGGTCATCACACAAGGTTTGGGGGAAGGGTCAAGAAAGAATATATTCTTCTTTTACATGCAGGCTACATATTTTTACACACACATTCCTTCCAAAACGGTTTTCAGACATTTATTTGATCACAAAAGTTTATAAGTTTGCTTAAAGTAACTATGGCAACACAGTAACCGAGCGCTTGTTGTAGTTTTATTCGGAATAGAATATTGGCAAAAACATAACTGTCATTATATGGCCTACATTTTAATATCCCATACGCTTATATGTATCTACAACTTTTGTGTTTTGTTTAAAATATATGTAGGATACTTTAAGTATCATACTTAGGCTACTAAACTGTGCTAGGAGCGCTAATGTTGCGCGAGATGATGCGCAAAATTGTCTAAAAAGTCGTAGTGCTAGCTATATAATTCTCACACTGCTTGAAGGACGCAAATTTACAAAAGTTGTAACGTTACTATTTTTGCGTTTTTTACAGGCAAAATAGTCACGAACAGCATCGCATTTCGGGTACAAGGAGATTGTGTGCCAAACCTCACGTCCACGCGGAATTCATCAATCTTGGACGTTTCCACTCTGGCACGATGGAGGGGGAGAAGGTTAGTCCTGCGATAGTAACGTTACAATAATCTGTTCCTACAACTCTGCGTGTATTCAAACATGACATTAATGCATTTTACTTGTATATAATGGTATACAAACACAACATAATGTGAGTCATACTGTAGCATCCGAGGAATCATTTTATGTGCTTGCAATGACTTTGATGAATGTGCCTATCATATGCTTTGCTTGACTTTGATGAACTATTTTAGCTAAATTCGAATAGCCCATGTGATCTTTGTTTCAGCATTGAATGTATGTCAAAAGTTAATCAATGTGATCAATGTCATGCATAATCCCAGTATGTTGCCAGTGTTGTGCGGTTTGCTGGGCGGTCTCGTTGAAAGGAATGTCAATGCAGCTGTAACAGGATGTTGCTATGACAACGAGGGAGCGGTATTGATGCTAAGACGTATTGAGATGTAAATGTTTGGGAGAGACCAAGAGAGAAAGGCAGAGTGGGTGATGAAGTTGTTTAAATTGGATGTTTATTTAAATCCTCTCAATGCTCACAACATCAGCAGATTAAATGATTCTGGAGTATAAGAGGTTGTGAGCAGATTAGATGTTTTTTATTCACAGCTCTCTACAGATGTTACGACTTTCATGTCAAGGTTGTCTGGTAACATTACCTTTCTCTCTTTAAAGGGATACTCCACCCAAAAATGAAAATTCTGTCATCATTTGAGTTGTCAAGTTGTTGCAAACCTGTATGAGTTTCTTTCTTCTTCTGAACAGAAAGGAAGATATTTTGAAGAACGATTGGAACTTTGGCACCATTGACTTCCATAGTATTTTTATTTTTTTTCTACTATGGAAGTCAATGGTGCCAAACAACCGTTTGGTTCCAATCGTTCTTCAAAATATCTTCCTTTGTGTTCAGCAGAAGAAAGAAAGTCATACAGGTTTGCAACAACTTGAGGGTGAGTAAATGATGACAGAATTTTCATTTTTGGGTGGAGTATCCCTTTAAAGGGATTGTTCACCAAAAAATTTCAATTCTGTCATCCTTTACTAACTTACTCTCATGCCATTCCAAATCCGTAAGACTTTCGTTCATCTTCGGAACACAAATGAAGATCTTTTTGATGAAATCTGACACCTTTCTGTCCCTCCATTAACAGTCTTTGCAACTACCACTTTGACGCTCCAAAAAGTTCATAAAGAGATCGTAAAACTAATCCATATGAATTGAGCGGTTTCCAAATTTTCTGAAGAGACTCGGTCATTTGATATGATGAACAGATTGAATTTTTTTAGGCTTTTATTCACATATAAACGTTGATCAGCGAACATAAAGAGAAGCTCAACCGAACCTGCGTAACACACAAGAACAAACCTCATTGGATTCATATGGATTAGATTTTACGATCTCTATGAACTTTTTGAAGCGTCAAAGTGGTAGTTGCGTAGCTGTCAATGGAGGGACGGAAAGCTCTCAGATTTCATCACAAAGATCTTCATCTGTGTTCCGAAGATGAACAAAAGGCTTACAGGTTTGGAACGACGTGAGGGTGAGTAATTAATGACAGAAATGAACTTTTTGAGTGAACTAACCCTTTAATACATTTCCAAATTGAGCGTTTGACTCAGAATGCATTTGTCAGATAACATTTGTTTTGAAATGTATTTCACTGAGTCATCGTGACTTGAGAGTATTTTTATGAGTGCGGAAGAGAGGGAGAGCGAGTAATAGGAATAATAGGATCCGATTAAAACTAAGGAAATGATGCTATTGATCTACATTTTCAATCTAATTTCTTTCAGACAATTGCATCTAGCTGTTATTGCTTAGAAAAGGTCAAATGCTGTGCAAGAAAAGCCCTGCAACAAAGCATCGACCTGCATCGACCTTATATCCTTGGTCCACCATTGTATTTATACAGGTTATGGTAAAAAATAATGAACTCCTTTTGATGTAGTCCAATTTCTGTAGGATTAAGGTTATTTGTGTCGAATGTCTGACCATCTCAGCATCACACAGCCCTTCAAAATTCACAGTGTCAGCACTGCTGCCCTAGAAACCTGAAATGTGTATTTGCAGTATTGTCTTACAGCTGAAGGCAGGGCGTTTTAGGACATGGCTGATTTGTGATAATAAAGATGAGCTCTTTATTATGAAGTTTGCTGCTACCTTGTTTACATCCCCTTATTTACTACATCAGTCTAAGCTGTGCGCAGTGTCTACTTTCTCTTTAAAGAAATCAGTCAAATGAAAGAATTTGGTGAATAGCCAGTAAACTAGAACTTTACAGAAACACACATCGCAAGAAAAAGCAAGATTAAAATGACATCTTTTAATGTCGTTAAAATGTTTTATAAATGTATGCATAATGTTGTGTTTTTATAGACATCATTTTGTGTGTTTTTGTATATTTGTGTGATTGGTGTCAATCAATTGGTGGTCAAAAATAAAATAGTAAAACTAAAATGATGATGAACTAACTGTCCTCTCTTGTTTTACAGAAGCAGGTAACATGCTACCTCCTGTTTTCTTTGTCAACGGCTGTAATTGGCTCCCTGCAGTTTGGCTACAACACAGGAGTCATCAATGCACCAGAACAGGTTAGTGAGTGTGTGTATGTGTGTGTATAGTACCCATCAAATGTTCAAACACACCTACACAATCGTTTAAAAGTTTGGGGTCAGTAAGATTTAAAAAAAAAAAATAATAATAATACTAATATTCAGCTTTCAATTTTGAGCACACAAAATTTCTACAGACACTGTAACGGTCATGATATGACATCACACTCTGCGGCATCTTTTTAATGAACATGAATTCAACGTAAATTGTAATACATTCAAAATGTAATAAATTAATAATATGCAATCTACTCGACTTTACTGCAAACATGCGTTTTTTTAACGCATATGATGTATCTTATCTTCTACTGGTCACACGAATTCTGCGAATTCGACAAGTCAGAGTTCACCGAACTTGAACTTTGGAACGCAGTGAAATGCGAAACATTTCGCGCAAACTTGCGTTTCCAGTCCGACGCAAACGTTTCAATGGAAGTCAAAGGAACAAAATGTGTATTGTGAACCCCCCGTTTGAACAGTAGTGTACTTATTCTTTATTCATTTTCTTTTCTTTGGAGTAATAAGTATGAAAATGATAAAATGAGAATTATGCAGTGACCATTTTAAATTGGAACCTTTTAACCTCTTAGAAATTGCGGGAGTTCTTCAACGCCACATGGATGGAGCGTTACGGGGAGCCCATCAAACCAGGCATGTGCACCATTGTGTGGAGTTTTGCTGTGGCCATCTTTAGCGTGGGTGGAATGATGGGATCATTCAGTGTCGGTGTCATAGCCAACAAATTTGGAAGGTAAGTGGAAAGTGGAAATTAAATGTGTGAAATGGCAAATGTTGACCAATTTAAATTTGGTGAGAACCTGATGTATCTTTTGTGGAAGTCCTGTGCTCTGAAGTCCTGTGCTCGGTTTTAAATCTAAAGAAAAAAAAATCTAAACCTTGTGGTTTCTTCCGTGTCAATACTCATATAGATTTACAATCACTTGTAAAGACACATTGAGGTCAGAGCCATGGCTTAGTGCTTAACACATTTTTTCTAGTACACTGCACTATGACGCTAATGCTGGCATTGTGGATTTGAACCTGGCTTGTGACATTTCCCAGTCAACATTATCTCCATCATTTGTCTTCTCTGCTTAATTTGAATCAATACATGTAGCAAAAATTTACAGAGAAGTTAAGTGTAGCCATTTGTGTTGTTATGCTGGGAATCCTGAGCCAGATAATACATCAGAGTATGTCAGAGTTACTCACAATGGTGGTTTAACTGGACAGTAAATGCTTTATAAATAATAAAGCAGTTTAACGAAATGAGGGCACTCAGAGTAGAAGAATTGACCTCTGTCTTCCTGTCTGGTTATACGCTTTCCACATTGTCAGAACAGTCACATTCAAAGCAAGCATTCATGTGTGCTCAGTGGCCATTGTTCTTTTTCTGCTTTCTTTCAGTGGCCTCCTCTGTCACCCTCCCTGGTTTTGCCTATTGTTTGGTTTTTGTCAGTGATAACCGAGATGAAAAATATGCATTGCATTGTGGTAATAACAGTGTCTGAAACATGAAGAATTCACAACACAACACAATAAACAGTAACTAATACTTATTAAGTATAATATACATTACAAAATTTTAAGTTCCACGTTCATACGTCCAAAAGATTGGGGTTTTAAGTAATATTTCAAATAAATGCTGTTCTTTTAAACTTTCTATTAATCAAAAAATCAATGTCAAAAGTTGTCACTGTTCCTACAAAAATATTAAACATTGAAAATAATAAAATTATTGCCAGCAGCCATATCACCCTGTAACCCAAGACTGGTTGCCCACTGAAGCTAAGCGGGGCTGAGCCTGGTTAGTACCTGGATGGGAGACCTTCTGGGAAAACCAGGTTGCTGCTGGAAGAGGTGTTAGTGAGGCCAGCAGGGGGTGCTCTCCCTGTGGTCTGTGTGGGTCCTAACGCCCCAGTATAGTGACGGGGACACTATACTGTCAAAGAGCACCGTCCTTCGGATGAGACGTTAAACCGAGGCCCTGACTCTCTGTGGTCATTAAAAATCCCAGGATGTCTTTCGAAAGAGTAGGGGTGTAACCCTGGCATCCTGGCCAAATTTGCCCAGTGGCCTCTGTCCATCGTGGCCACCTAATCATCCCTATATACTAATTGGCTTTATCACTCTGTCTCCTCTCCACCAGTAAGCTGGTGTGTGGTGGGCGTTCTGGCGCAATATGGCTGCCGTCGCATCATCCAAGTGGATGCTGCACATTGGTGGTGGTTGAGGAGATTCCCCCTTCTATGTGAAGCGCTTTGAGTGCCTAGAAAAGCGCTATATAAATGTAATGAATTATTATTATTATTATTAAAATTCTATTATATATAAACTATTAATTAAAATAACATATACTATTATATCAATATAATAATTACTATTACTTATACTGTATGTTAGTATAAGTATTATGTTAGTATGTTATGTTTGAATATTATTACTATATATATATATATATATATATATATATATATATATATATATATATATATATATATATATATATATATATATATATATATATATATATATATATATATGTTACACGGTGGTTGCAGCAGAGATGAAACAGGATCTAAGTGCAGCAGCTTTATTCAAAAACAAACTCAAACTTCACAATATAATGCCCAGAACAACTAACTCAACGCAACGTAGAACTGACAAAGAACTGAAAGGAACACAATGCTGTGTCCCAATTCGCCTACTTATACTACGCCCTAAAAGTATGTACTCTTTTTGTGAAGAAAAAGTACATACTTTTGAGTGTGTAGCAAAAGAGTAGGCAAGCTTTGGGACATACTACTTCGTCATCTTTAACGGACAGATCTGTCGCGTGCATCCTGTCACCGTAAACTGCCCTGTCAATCATCTCGTCACAGTTAAAATCCTCCATTCAATCTAATATAACTTCTTACCATTTCGGAGGGAATTGTTGTCGCACGTTCATCTGCCAGTCATGGGTCTTTCATGCCGAGACTCTCCTCATGTGTTTGGAATTTGAATATAATAATGCATTTAAAAGTTAATGGCTAAACGTATCTTTGCAAAAGTTCACAATGCTGCAGATGCAATATAATGTGGACAACATTGAATAAATACATTTTCGTCAGGTTAGATACTGATAATTAATCACTCAAACCCCTTTATCTAAACCTCTCTACATAACCGTCGGACTCACGCGTCCTCCATGTCTGTAGTTTTTGAACACTTTTCACTCGTGTTTGTAGTTCTAACCGAATCCTCGTTCAACACGCGATGGTTTGTGGGCAATATCAGCCGTTAGAGTGTGCAACGATCTGCACTTCGGATTCTGACCGGATATAGTAACCATCCGGGTCTCTTTGGGACACTCATTTCAACATACTACGATTTGGGACGTACTAATTCTATTTTCGAATACTATTTAGGACGGATAGTATGCGAATTGGGACGCAGCACAAGGCTTAAATAGACAGAAAACAGAGGACCTAACGAGACTAATAAACGGGACACACCTGAACTGAAACTCAAATCAAAACAGTAACCATGGAAACAAACAGGCAGGGGACGGGGAAAGACAGAACTGAACTAATTGACCGATTAACCAAACACAGACAAGAACAGAAATCAAAACAAACTGACATCATGGAAATATATTTCATTAGAGTTTGGTCTGTTTCAGTTTGACATGTTTTATTCTGTCATTTTGCACATTTATGTCAACTAAAAGTATGTCATTTTAGTCAGAGCAAAATGGAATATAATTAATGAATATGGCACAATGAATATTGACAAAATCTAAAGGGCATATTCGTCCAAAGACAAAAATTATGACCAAAAAAACAGTGCAAGTCTTAACATTGTGTTCCTCTCTTTCTTGCTGTCATTTTTCTCATTTCCTGTATTTGCTGTTGAATTAGTGTTTCTAATTCAATTGAATTCCCTCCCTGTCTGCCTGTTGTTCTCTCTACAGACGTAAGTCGATGTTCCTCGTGAATATCTTGGCTCTGATTGGTGGGAGTCTCATGGGACTGTGTACTCTCTGCTACTCCTATGAGATGGTCATTGCCGGTCGGCTGGTTATTGGGCTGTTCTGTGGCCTCTTTACTGGGCTCACTCCAATGTATGTTGGGGAAGTGTCGCCCACTCCCCTCCGTGGGGCCTTCGGGACCCTGCACCAGCTTGGTGTTGTGGTGGGCATCTTAATTGCCCAGGTAAAGCATTCTATGTCAGCAATTTAATTTGTTGCTAAATTACATATTAGTAAGAGACTGGAAAAAAGTTTTTTGATTTTGTGTGTCATGACCAGATGGTTTATAAAAAAAAAAGTATAAATCATTTCAAGAGCCTTGTGGCCTCATTATATGTTTGTGCCACAACAAAACCTTGAGGAAATATCCCATCTAATTTACATTATATTAACCTTCTAGTTGAATCTGCCAATTCATATTTCAGTTAGCGAGCCTAATTTATGCTATCATAACTTAATCAGTTTTAATTTAATGCTTGTAAATTTTTAAACTTTTTGTATTGTGTATTTTTCATCTAGATCTTTGGGCTGGAGAGTCTGCTGGGTTCACAAAAGCTTTGGCCTTTACTTCTGTCTCTAACCGTGCTACCAGCCATCCTGCAGTGTATACTGCTGCCGTTCTGTCCAGAGAGCCCTCGCTTCCTGCTCATTAACCTCAATGAGGAAGAAAAGGCCCGCAAAGGTACGAGAGAGATCACAAATGAGCTTTATCTCCACTGAGCTGCAGCCATACTTATTTGAAAAACACCCCACATGTGCACGATTTTATCAGCACTAAACATTGAAAATATCTCAGCAAACAAGATATTTCTCAGTGGAAGTGACCGATAGAGCTTAAAATATTTTTTGAACTGCATTCATTTCTTTGGGAGTAGTATTGTGCCAAATGCACTTAACCTTATGTTCCCAATTAATGCTAATTATGTGCTGGTGACAAAATGAGCTAAAACATCTGCTTAAACAGAAGCCCTTTATTGAATAAAATATACAGCTCATCATTGACTGGAGCAGGATGGGAAAAAAACGTTATAGTCACATTTACTACATGATTTATTTTACACCAGATGATTTTGCACATAAATGACTAATAGATGCCAGCTACTGTAGCACAGCTTTTGGAAATTCTGTTTGGCAACCAATGGTAAATGGAGAGTCTTCAGGTACCGTTTAACCCTCTGGGGTCTGAGGTGTTTTCGGGGTCCTTGAGATGTTTTGGCATGCTCTGACATTTGTGCTTTTTTCAGTTGCTTATAAACATATTAATGGCACAGGTGAAATTACACTCTATATAGCACACACAGGGCTACCATAATATGTGAGCAACATGTACATGTTTGTATTTTTGAGAGAATATTGTTTATGCGTGGTTATTGAAAAAAATAAAAAATAAAGTTTCTAATATAAGGCCACAAATAACATACTAAATATCTGTCCACAAGACTTTTGACTAGTGGATGTTGTCGCCTAGAGTATTTGCTTCAAATTGATCTGAAAATCATTCTGCCTAATCATTCACATAAAACAATAGATTGTTTTAAATTGTGAAAAACATTTTTTTGTTTGCAAAGGCAATATGCGGATGGGCGGATCGGCCCAACCCCCTCATGAATAATTAGGCAGTTCTCACCTGAGCAGACTGCATACTAATGAGCCTTTCATTCAGGGGTGTCACACAAGAAAGAATGCAAGGACAATATATATATAAATAAATAAATAAATATTTATATACACACACACATATATATATATATATATATGTGTGTATATAAATATTTATTTATTTATATATATATTGTCCTTGCATTCTTTCTTGTGTGACACCCCTGAATGAAAGGCTCATTAGTATATATATATACATATATATATACAAACAATCAAAATATAAATTAAAGCCAAAAGCACATTTTTAGTCACACCTTTTAGCCATCCACATACCATTTTTAGCCATCCACCGCGGTAAAAATAAACCAGTCTCATTTCAAAGTCGTACGCGAAATGACCGCCAGGTGGCGCAAAGGGACATTTAGCAAAACGTAAGTGGGGCTAATGTCTATTAACAGTAGCCTAAGGATGAAATACTACAAGTTATGGTAATTTCCAAATAAGCCTATACAAATTGTTGGTCATACAGATAAGATATAATCTTTTAAAACTGTAAAAGGCTAAAGTAGGTGTCACGGGTCTATGATGGAGGACTCAAATGCAGAACAAGTGTTAACAGGTTTTATTGACAAACAGTAGACAGAAGACAGGATGTGTTGGGAGAGGTGAACAGTCCAAAGAATAGGCAGGGATGAGACACAATGACAGCCGTAGTAACTAGCCGAGCAGCACTTGTAACTAGCAAGATGACTGGAAGCTGGAGAGTAGAAATGGCAGAGCAGAATGAGACCTCAGAATACAAGCAGTAGCCAGACAGGAACTTGTAAGTACTCCAGCAAGGCACTCAGGGATCTCAGGCTCAGCACCAGGCTTCCTCCAAAGCCAAGAGTGTAAGCAGTCAGGGACACTCTGCTAGCAGGACTGGAACTAGAGACACAGAAGACAAGACAGACAGGACCGATGGCAGAACTAAAGAACAAAATACTTCTACAAATAAAACACTGTAGACTTTAGTCACAAGAAACAAACTATGTAGCACAGTAGTACAACATCTAACGAACTGGCAACACATGAGGGAAAGAGCACACACATAAAGGGAGTTAACAAGAGTAACAGGTGAGAACACTTAGACAAGGAACAGGTGAACACACTCACGTAAACGAGGACTGAAACAAGGGAGCAGAGAACATGAGGAACAGGTGACAACACTCAGACAAACGAGGACTCAACTAGACAAGAGGGCGTGGTACAGGGAAACAAGGAGGCAGGAACAGAGGAGCACATGGCCAACACAAACACAACCATATGTTCAAGCACAACACAAACATAGAGACATGAAACAAAGACAACACAGACAAAGCTGCCAGAGCAAGACCCTGACAGTACCCCCCATCTAATGGACACCTCCAGGTGGGGCATAAACATAGAAGTCCCAAACTGACCAGGAAACACAGAGGGAGGGATGGGGCGGGTGGGAACAGAACCGGGTAAAAAGTTCAAGGCTGACAAAGGAGGTGCCGGCTTAGGGGAACCATAACCAGGAAACGCAGAGGGTGAGACGGGAGGAATGGGAACTTGATAGGAGGTACTCTTGGACACAGGAACTGGTCTAACTGGTCTGGACTTCCAACTGGGCTTGACAGACTTGGGGGCAAAGACATGACTAGCAGGATTGGTGAAGGTCTTGGAATCAGGTACAGGGACTGACTCAGGAGCGCCCTCCTGGGCTGCACTGACGTGCTCTGGGACTGACTCGTGAGCGCCCTCCTGGGCAGCGCTGGCTTGCTCGGAGACTGACTCATTAGCGTGCTCTGGGACTGCGCTCTCTGGAGCAACGCTCACAGCAGCGGGCTCGGGGACCGCCTTCACAGCAGCGGGCTCGGGGACCGCCTTCACAGCAGCGGGCTCGGGGACCGCCTTCACAGCAGCGGGCTCGGGGACCGCCTTCACAGCAGCGGGCTCGGGGACCGCCTTCACAGCAGCGGGCTCGGGGACCGCCTTCACAGCAGCGGGCTCGGGGACCGCCTTCACAGCAGCGGGCTCGGGGACCGCCTTCACAGCAGCGGGCTCGGGGACCGCCTTCACAGCAGCGGGCTCGGGGACCGCCTTCACAGCAGCGGGCTCGGGGACCGCCTTCACAGCAGCGGGCTCGGGGACCGCCTTCACAGCAGCGGGCTCGCATTCTGCAGTCTTGACAGGCTTGGCAGAAATGTCTAGGGACTTGACAAGACTTGTAAGACATTCAGAGAAGGCCTCTGCGGCAATGACAACAGGCAGCTTGGGAATTACCTCTGTGAACATGACAGGACTGGGAGAAATTGTCTCTGAGGGAATGACATTACTAGTCAATGGCTTAGAAAATGGTTCTACTGGAATTGATACCTCAGGAACCACTGGACCTGGAGCTTGAGAATGGAGAATTGTAGACTGTTCTGCACAGGCCTTTCTCTTCTTCCTCCGACGGGCTGATACTGTGTGCTGGACAGCCTCTGTAGTATCTACAGCTAACTCAGCCAAACCAGGCAGAATAGCAGTGACCGTCGACTCAGCAGTGACTGAAACAGACCTAGCAGACTCAGAAGTAACAGGAACACTCTGGGTAGTTACTGGGAAAACAGAGGTTAAGTCAGCAGACTCAGAGGTGGCTGGAACTGCCTTAATTGTCTGAGAGATGACAGCGGTTGACTTGACTGGGTCTTGAATAACAGAAAATGACGTGACTGGGACTGACCTGGATGCCTGAGAGATGATGGTGATTGGTTTGACTGACTCTGGGGTAGCTGTGGTGGACTGAACTGTCCTATTCCGTCTGAATCTTAGTTTCTTAGTGGAAGCCAGAGGAGGATCATAAATGTGACGAGACAGGCGAGGAAGAGCAGGGTGGTTGTTGAAAGCAGATTCCGGTGGACTGGGCGGCATTCCCCACTTACAGCGATTACCAAGGTACCTAGAGAAACCCCAGAAATCCAGAATCCTGAGAGAATCCATCTCCCATGCAGGCAGGGGGTCATCCAAGCAGGAGTTAAAAATGTCCTTGAGAGCAGCGTCATTATAATCTAGCCCCACAGACATGGTCCAAAAGAATTGGGCAAAACCCCCCACCTCAAAGCCATCCTGGCGAAGAGCAGTGAGACCACGATGACGAGACATTCTCTCCTGGATGTTAGCAGGTGGCAGGATCTTGATGCTCATTCTGCTGAGTCCTGAACTGGCCAGTTCGTTCTGTCACGGGTCTATGAAGGAGGACTCAAATGCAGAACAAGTGTTAACAGGTTTTATTGACAAACAGTAGACAGAAGACAGGATGTGTTGGGAGAGGTGAACAGTCCAAACAATAGGCAGGGATGAGACACAATGACAGCCGTAGTAACTAGCCGAGCAGCACTTGTAACTAGCAAGATGACTGGAAGCTGGAGAGTAGAAATGGCAGAGCAGAATGAGACCTCAGAATACAAGCAGTAGCCAGACAGGAACTTGTAAGTACTCCAGCAAGGCACTCAGGGATCTCAGGCTCAGCACCAGGCTTCCTCCAAAGCCAAGAGTGTAAGCAGTCAGGGACACTCTGCTAGCAGGACTGGAACTAGAGACACAGAAGACAAGACAGACAGGACCGATGGCAGAACTAAAGAACAAAATACTTCTACAAATAAAACACTGTAGACTTTAGTCACAAGAAACAAACTATGTAGCACAGTAGTACAACATCTAACGAACTGGCAACACATGAGGGAAAGAGCACACACATAAAGGGAGTTAACAAGAGTAACAGGTGAGAACACTTAGACAAGGAACAGGTGAACACACTCACGTAAACGAGGACTGAAACAAGGGAGCAGAGAACATGAGGAACAGGTGACAACACTCAGACAAACGAGGACTCAACTAGACAAGAGGGCGTGGTACAGGGAAACAAGGAGGCAGGAACAGAGGAGCACATGGCCAACACAAACACAACCATATGTTCAAGCACAACACAAACATAGAGACATGAAACAAAGACAACACAGACAAAGCTGCCAGAGCAAGACCCTGACAGTAGGCCTACACTCACAGGCTAAAGACAAAACGTTTTCTCGCTCA